TGCCTGTTCACATGGGCCTTGGCCGCCACGTTGTCCGTCAAGACCAGGACATAGTGACCGGTCACGGTGTTCTTGAAGGGACATAGGGCCAGATGGATGGCCCTGAGCTGCAACCAGTTTATGTTGTTGCGCAGGTCTGTTGGAGTTCAGTGGCCCTGGGCTATCTGGTTCTCCAGGTGTGCTCCTCAGCCGAACAGGCTTGCGTCCGTTGTGAGTACATTCCTTGCTGGTTCCCTGAAGAGGGATCCCTTGCCTAGTGCTGGGGTCAGCCACCAACGAGTGAGAGCAGCACCTGGGGTGGCACTCGATCTTTGAAGCTGGCGTCGCTCGTTCGGTTCTCTTGTATGGAAGCAGGAACCACTGAAGCTCCCTGGCGTGAAGGCGAGCCAAAGGCACGATCTCTATACAAGAAATGAATTTCCCAAGGAGCCTGGAAATAACTACAGGGACAGAACGTAATTTGCATATTTCCTGAACGAGCTGCACAATGCTGACCCTTCGATCCTGGGAAAGAGAAACCTCTCCGGACACTGAGTCTATAATGGACCCTAGGTGTTGGAGACTGGTAGATGGGTCCAGATGACTCTTCTCTAGGTTGATAGAGAACCCCAGGGACCTGAGAGTGTCGATGGTGAGCCCCAGGTCCTGCCTGGCAGTGTCTGGGGACCTGGCTATGACGATGTCATCCAGGTAGCAAAAAAGCCAGACTGGAAAGAGCACAGGTGGCCCGCGGCCAGCACCTTGGTAAAGATACTGGGGGCTGAAGCCAGTCCAAAGGGGAGGGCCCTATATTGGAAATGACTGCCCTCATGGGAAAATCTAAGGAACTTACGATGTTCAGGAGCGATTCTAATGTGAAGGTAGGCCTCCGTGAGATCAATGGAGGCCAAGAAGTCGCCCTGTCGGATACCTTCTAAGATGGATTTCAGGGAGGCCATCTTGAACCTACAGTAGACCACCCTGGAATTCAGCAACTTAAGATCCAGGATGGCTCTCCACCCCCCCTGAACTCTTGGGGACCAGAAACAGGTTCGAAAAGAACCTGGAACCCCTCTCCCCCTCCAGGACCCTCTCTATGGCCTTGATATCTAACACATGTTTGATGGCCTTTGCCTTAAGGGCCCATTTGGCCAGATCCCCTTGGGGAACCTGGGGATGCTGCCCGGGCCTCTTCTAGGACTGGAAACCTTCAGGGGGAGCGGGATCTGGAAGGGGAGGGACTGATGGTCGCCCTAAACCTAGCAGAGGCCCTGGTGATCCTAACCTCCTTCTCAGAGATTGCCTTCCTGTGGGCCCTGGAGTTGCCCTTCTTGGCTGGGGATCTCCCTCTGGAAACTGGGGGAACCCTCCTGGATGTCCCCTCGCCTGGATCCGAATCCCCATGGGGCCTAGGCATGGCATCCCCGCTCCTTGCCACTTCCGCCATTGTACTCACGGTTACCGTACCACCTCCTCTCTCCCTGCTGGCCTCTTCTCTCTGGATGCCTTGATCTTCCAGGCACCACGCTCTTTCAACGATTGCCGCCACTCTGCGGCTCGATTGCCGGCTCACCGCTGCTTCGGATTGTCAGGAGAGAGAGGCCTCTTCCTGTAGCCTCTTCCGGCTACTGCGGTGTCTTTTGAGTGCTCTCAGCCTCCGTAGGAGGGTCACACGCTCTCCCACGTGCTCAAAGATGGAAGGAAATCTAAGATGGCCACCGATCTGCGACCCGGTCTTCTCCGAGCCTCGGGAACATTGGAGGAAGGCCCTGGCCGGTTCCTCAACCACTGGCACCTTGCAGAGGTCTCCTGGGTGGCCTGCAGCTGTCTTAGCGGGCCTCATGGTGCAGCAGCCTTTTTTCCCTTTTACACGGCCATCCGGTCGCTAGGGAATCACGCTGGACCGTGTCAAGGCTTGCCTGCCAGCAGCGCTGAGCATGGGTGCAGAGAGGAGCCGATCCGAAGGTAATTCAAAGAAAAAACTGTAAAAATCCTAAGGCTTGAAAAAAATTTAGAAGCTGGAAAGTAAAAACCTAGAAAAAACCTAGAAGTCTACGAAGTGAAGGGAGAGTCAGGAAAAACACTCCTTCTGGGCCAGAGACTGAGGTTAATCTGGGAGGTCAGAAGGAGGAAAGGAGGTGTGGCCTCAAGATTTACCTCAGTCTCCAAGGCAAAAGGGTTGGGTTAATACCCATGTGTGACTCCTCCCACACCTCACTTCGGAAACTGAGCTTAGATACAAATGCCTACTCTACTTGCTTTTTAATCCTAATTGTTATTGAACTTTTGGAGGGATTCTGAAGTCGACATAGTTATTACACTGGTGTCCTGAATCCAAATATCCAGAAGAACTAAGAACACAGTGCACAGGCACCTGATCATAGCAAGCCGAATTTTGAATGTTTAGGTACACTTTGGAATCTCATTAAAGGGAAGGAGAATGCAGTGTTCATAGTACAAGAAGATAGATGATGACACAAAAGTCAGTTTTGAAGTTCCAAACAAAAGTAAACCATCCATACATACGTTACTTTGTGGGAAAGAGATAAACTTTCCTACTGCTACTACAAGAGAAATACATGTTCGATGCCACAATTCCCTGTTCCCTGATGCCACAATTCTCATGTTCAATCAGATTCATCTTAATTGGAATTAATTTCCCAAATAAGCAAGGGAAAGTTGTGGTGGAGGGGAGGAAAATCAGAGCCGAGGTGGCGCAGTGGTTAAATGCAGCACTGCAGGCTACTTCAGCTGACTGCAGTTCTGCAGTTCGGCTGTTCAAATCTCACCGGCTCCGGGTTGAATCAGCCTTCCATCTTACCGATGTGGGTAAAAT